CAGATATTGTTGCATGTTATCCAGTTGTTGAAGAAAAAGAAAGATAACATTCTAAATAACTTTAAATTTAGTTTTCTTTTTTGAAGTTAGACAGATTTATAAAAATAGATTATTAATTTGGTATTTTCTGATAATAAATAAATGAAGAAACATCTTTTGAAAATTCTATTTTTCCAATAAAATAATTTGATTGGATATTTAATTCATAAAACTGAGAAAATTACAATGAGGTAACTATGATCAATCATTAGTCTCTCTTTTAATTAAAGGAAACAATTTAATGAAATAAATTGTAAAATGAAACAATCCGGATTGAGAAATTATATTAACGAAAAATTAGAATAAATGTTATTAGAAGTGAATAGAATTTATATTTTAAAAGAAACAAAAAAAAGTAAAATAAAAGAAATTTAAATTAAAATTAAAACAACAACAACAACAATTTGTTGTACAAAAATGAAAATGATTTAAAGGTCTTTATAATATTTAAAAACTTTAATTTTAATAATTAAATATGGAACACTTAGAACAATTCAATCTTTTTAACCAAGTTATAAAAGTATTACCTTCGTTTTGTAATGCATTGGAAGAAGCTGCTGGAATAGCTGTTGATCCAGAAAGTAAATATCAAATTTCAAAATATAGAATTGATATTACTGATAGTGATGAAATTGCTATTAGAGAATATCGTAGATTATTTGATGAATTAAATTTCATAGTAACAGAGAATTTAAGAATAATCAAAAGAGTAAATGAAGCTGTTGAGTTACTCAAAAGAGCTTTTACCTTAATGGAAGCTGTTCAAAAAAATGAAGAGAAAGAGATGAGTGTGATTGCGTCTACAGCAAATGAATTAGCACTAAAAATAGTAGAAAAAGAAACAGACAAATATAATAAAGAAATAGACAAAATTAATAAAGAAATTCAATTTCAAATGCAAGAAAAAAGAAACGAATTTAATGAAAAAATTCTTGATATTCAAGAATGTATTAAACCAGTCGCTAATGCTGTTACCCTTTCTAAAATGGAAACTCCAATTACTTCAATGACTTCAAGACCAAAAATTCCTGTGATTAAACGAATTAAAAAAACAAATTGTGAAATATTGAATTTATTTTCTTTTGGATTAAATAAACCTGAAGAAGACACTGACCTTTACGTTGTTAATGAAAATGTTAAAACATTTAGAACCTGGTCAGCATTAAAAAAATGTAATTTAATTTATGACTCATCAATAAATTGTTATGAGGAATTTAGAAGAAGTGTTATCTGTAGAAGTAATTTGTTTTTCATTAATTTTGATGACCAAGGTAATGTATTTGGGGCATTTGTTAAGAAACAAATTACTAAAATTAATGTCTTTGTTAAAGACAAAGATCACTTTTTATTTTCATTAAATGCTAATGGAAGAATAGTTACTCCAATCCGTTTTCTTCCTAAGAAAAACCAATATGATTGTGCTGTTACTATTTTTGCAGAAGTTAGTAAAAAAGAAAAGAAAAATGATACTCGACTTTATCAAATTGGAAGTTTTGAACTTGGGAGAGGATCAATGGGTATTCGTGCTATTGGAGAAAAGAAAAGTGATTGTTGTCATCTTTCTCAAAGTTATGAAGGAATTCAAAACTTAACTTTAACAGGAACCAATCACCCTGCAGAATTTACAACAAGAAGAGTTATTGTTGTACAAATGGAATAAATAGATACTTATAAGTACAATTTATTATTTATAACTTTATTAATTAGTTTTGTTAAATTATATGAAAAGACAAAAAATATTTTAAAAGACTTAATGAGAAAAGTAAATAAATCTTTCTTTTGTTAACAGCACTTCTTACCACCTTGAGTTTGAGCAGATTGAGTTTGACTAATATCTACCTTTTCTTCTGTTTTAGGCTTTGAATTATCAGAAGGAACAGAATCACTTTTAAGTGTTGCGTTCTTCTTTTTATAAATTTGTATCAATAAATCAGAAAATGCTTTTTCTACATTTGTTCCATCTAAAGCAGAAGTTTCAATAAAGAAAGCTGAATGTTTTTGAGCAAATTCAGTTCCATCTGAGGTATTAACTTCACGCTCTTGTTTAAGATCAGCTTTATTACCTACAATCATAATGGTAATATCAGAATCACAACCATTTTTTAATTCATTCATCCATCGTTCTATTGCATCAAAACTATCTTTCTTTGATACGTCATAAACACACATTGCTCCTTCTGCCCCTCTATAATAAGCATCAGTAATAGCCCTATATTTTTCTTGACCAGCAGTATCCCAAATTTGAGCACGAATAGTTTTACCCTCATATTCAATCGTACGTGTAGCAAATTCAACTCCAATAGTAAATTTTTTTTCAGGCTCAAATTCATTTCGTGTGAATCTCAATAATAAATTTGATTTACCAACACCACTTTCTCCTATAATCACTAATTTATACATACACTCTGTTTCTCCTTCCATTTTCAATCAAACTGAACTAAATTTAAAATTTTGTTCTTCGTTTTTTTTTTTT